GGATCTCGCGTCAACCACGGAGTCCTTTGGTCGGACCGTCAGGTCCTTCGCGTTGCTCAGGACGACAGTTGGCGGCTGGTCCGTCGATTGCATCTCCGCCGGGATCGATGGCGAAGAGGCGTGACGTGGCGGTACGGCAATTCCATCTCGGCTGGTTTCTCGGCAACAGTTTCGGCGTGCACGGCTGGAACCAGCCCTGGTCGGGCGTCGATGCGCGCGAGTGGGCGCAGCCTGATCTCCACATCGAACTCGCGAGGGCGCTGGAGCGCGCCTGTTTCGATTGCCTGCTGCTCGAGGACTCGCTCTTCGTCCCCGACAACTACGGCAGCTCGATGGATTTCTATCTCGAGCGGGCCCTGCGTGCGCCGAAGAACGATCCGCTGCCGCTCGTGCCGCTGATCGCCCAGGCCACGAAGCATCTCGGGCATCGTGCCGACGATTTCGACGAGCTTTTACCCGCCCTATCTGCTGGCGCGCCTGATCGCGACGCTCGACCTGATGTCGAAGGGCCGCGTCGGCTGCAATTTCGTCACCTCGACCGCCGAGCGTGCGGCGCAGAATTTCGGGCTCGATGCGCATCTCGAGCACGATCTGCGCTACGAGATGGCTGACGAGTTCGTGGACCTCGTGACGAAGCTCTGGACGTCGTGGGATGCCGATGCGGTCGTTGCCGACCGGGAGGCCGGCATGTTCGTCGATCCCGCGAAGGTCCGCGCCATCGACTTCAAGGGACGGTTTTTCTCGTCCCGAGGCCCGCTCAACACCGCGCAGCCGCCGCAGGGACGGCCGGTACTCGTCCAGGCCGGAGGCTCGCCGCAGGGCAAGGCCTTCGCCGCCGCGGCACATGGATGTCGTGGTCGCGGCGCTGGGCACGGTCGCGGAAATGAAGACGTTTCGCGACGACATGCGCAAGCGTGTCGCGGCGGAGGGACGGGACCCCGACAGCTGCAAGGTGCTGTTCGTCGTGTCGCCGACGCTGGGCGAAACCAACGTCGAGGCGGAGGATCGCGCGGCGCGTCGTCAGGCCCAGCGCGAGGCCGCACCGGAAGTGACGCTGGCGATGATGGGCAGCCTGACGGAC